AAATTATTTGCAGCTTTTTAATTAGATTTCATAGCAAAACTCTGTTTATGTAAGATGTCATGTCTCGGTAGAAGAATGTCCTAGTTGGTAAAGACTTGAGAAGGTCCTGCAGTCATTCACTATCATTATATTTTCTTCTAAATCATTTTATTGCATTTAATTTTATAAATGTTATTTCAGCTGTGGGAGTCAGAAATAATTTGATGTATATGAAATTTCTTCCGTCTTTGTCCAGCTGCTGCCTAGAATTAAGCTAGTCATTTGTGCTTATGATGTCATGATTTGTTGCCATGGTAACAAATATACAGTCACATATGCCTCATTATCATTTCATTAGAGTGATGACATATTTATAGTATTCAAGAACAGCATATCACCCTTTTAAATAATGTGCTCTTATGTAGCACACAAATACCCTTCAGCCTCACTGTACAGTTTTTCCCTGTGGTTTACATCATTTCCTATATACTACACACTGTTAGCTTGTTTCTTACAGAGGGGAAAAAGGCGTTTTTAAAAGAAGTAAGGCAGAGGCTGCTCTGTCTGCAGAGTAGCCACTCTGTCTCACTGCTTCACTAATAAACTCTCTTTCACTTTAAACTCTAAAAAAAAAAAAGCAAGACAATACAAATGTGTTAAAAACAACGGGATCCGAGATTGCAAGATGGCTGCTGAGTAGGTGGAAGCTGCACCCACCTGTTCCCTCTCCCAAATCAGATTTACAGCTAAATTGCAGAGCCATCAACCTGAACAACCAACTGAAGGCTAGCTGAACTGAAATAGTACAACCCGAGATTACAGAGGAAGCCACCAGAGGACTGGGAGGGAGGGTAGAGACAAAGGGAACAGCCCCTGCACTCAGGTGTGGCAGTGGCTGAAAAACTGGAGGGATATCATGGTTGCAAAATCCCCTCCCCCTAGGAGCGTGGGGTCTCCACCCCTCACAGGGATCCCCAACCTAGAGCAATGGAGACAGGAACAGGAGCCTGTGTAGCACCTGGCAGTGAAAATCAGTGGTGATTCAGTCCGCCTGGGAGACTCAGACGGAACCCGCCAAGGAAGAGCACTCCTATTGTTATAGCAACAGCCTGGGTAGTTCACAGTCCAGACTCCAACTGCTGGTGCGACCATGCTGCCATACTCACATCTGCTGGCTACACCTCGCAGTGAGTTTAAGGGGCCCTCATGTTTCTGGGGAGGCTTTTGGCAGAGATCCAGAAAGTGACTAAACTGTGACTTGGCAAAGAGGACTGGTCTCCCTCACCTTGGGTGCACAGCTGGCACCCCTCCCCCCACCTGTTGAGCCACTTGTGTTGCTGAGTTTGGTGGCGCAGGGCATCTGCACAGACCTGGGGCATTCGGCCACATCCTGCTGGTCTCTGTGGCACAGGGAAATCATGCAGAGCTGGGACTTGTGGCCATCCTCCGGAGACCAGCCATGTGGAGAGACCAAAGTGCCATGCAGGGCTGGGATCTTCAGCCCCATCCTGCTTGGTTCATCCACCTGGGGGGACAAGGGAACTGTGCAGAGCTGGGACTTTTGGACCGTGTGTCCCAGAAAGGCTTCTGTTTGGGAGCCAGAAAAGAGAGCGCTGGGCTGTGTGGCTACGTTGCAAGGAGGCAAATCCAGTCTTCCCTGTCAGTTCAGCCAGTGCTCCTCCAGGAAAGGGAACACATGCCAGCCCCCCTCCTACCGTCTTGTGGCACCACCCCCAACAAGAAACTGTTTAGATCAGCCTTGCAAAGTCCCAGATACCCATGCTGGGTGCAGTTCCTTGGGCAGAAGAGAGAGCAGCTCAAAGAAGAGGCATTTAAAGTGTCAGACTCTTGGAGGCTATTGCCTGGGACTGGGACAAAGTGCTTAGCCTCGTCCTACAGGCCGGGCTAGCATTATTCAAAACAGGAGATTCTTTGGATCTATCTCTCTGAGCTGGCAGCGCTGAGTTTGCTCCTGCAGAGGGGACAGTTGGCTGTACCCAAACCGAACCTGCAGCAAGCCCTGCTAGGTGGAAAGAGAAAAAGACACTGGCAGAGACAGAGTGGGTTGGCTTTGAATTAAGGGCCATTTTCCACTCATTGAGTGCCTGTGTGATCCCTAAGTGGGGGACCCAGTAGCCCTATCCTCTTGACTCCGGTTTCCCTGACCTACCAAGCTCTCAACCTGTGGAAGACTAGCCTTGGCTAATCCTACAGTCTTTCTTCAGAATGTTCTGGAGAAAGACCAGGAAACCTCAGGAGAAGGTGGAGTAGCTGACAGGTGGAGGCAAATCTAAGGGAGCCATTGTCCTTTTACAGATCTGCCCCAGCTCTAATCTGAAAGAAGCTCATGCTTTTACAGATCCAGTAGATATAGACATAAACGATGAACAGCGTGGTAGCTACGAACAGGTTGCCCAAGGCTGGTTACATACAAACTCTGACAGTGACCTGTACGAGAACCAACAAAAACAGAGCTGGGCTTCAGACCAAATGAAAGCTTGACCAAACTAGCCACACAAGCAGCACACTCAAAGGGAGATTCTGGCAGACACCAGACACTGCTGGGAACAACTCTGCCTCCAGGAGCAGCCCCTGAACAGTGTCTCATACATGGTGATTGAGTTTACCTTTAAAGACACCCAGCCTGAAGGCGGTCAATTCCACACACAAAAAAGCAAACAACACTCAAGACTCAACTACTAAAGGGGTTGCACACACCCACAAGAAACATTCCTGGAGCGCAGAGCCAAGGCAATCTGGAGGACTGTGCCACAAGCCCAACATGACACCTTCATCATAAAGCCATCATAACAAGTTTGGGAACCAAAGCTAATCTACCTAATAATACACAGAGACAAAATGGGGTGACAAAGAAAAAGGCCCCAAACAAAAGAACTAAAGAAATCCCCAGAAAAAATAATTAAATGAAATGGAAGAAACCAAAATACCAAATGTAGGGCCTAAAACAGAGGTTATAGGAATGCTCTAGGATTTTAGGTGAAGAATGGATGATCTCAGTGAGAATTTAAACAAAGAGATAGCAAGCATTAAAAAGGACATATAAATAATAAAGAAGAACCATTGGAAATGAAGAATAGAATATCTTAAATGAAGAATACACTAGAAAAAAATCAAGAACAGGTTAGAAGAAGCAGAGGACTGAATCGGGAAATTAGAGGACCAAACAACAATAAGCACCCAGGCAGAGAGTAAAAATAAAAATTAAAAAATGAGGAAAGTTTAAGAAACCTCTGGGACAAGATCAGATATAAAACCAACCACATCATAGGGGTACCAGAAGGAGAGGAGAGTGAGCAAGGAATAGGTAACCTGTTTGGGGAAATAATGGCAGAAGACTTCCCAAAGCTGGCTTCACAGGCAAATTTTACCAAACATTCAAAGAAGAACTAACACCTGTCCTCCTCAAACTATTTTAAAAATTTCAAGAATAGGGATGACTTCCAAGCTCTTTTTACAAGGCCAGCCTTATCCTGACTCAAGAGCCAGATAAAGACACTATAAAGAAAAGTATACACCGATATCCCTAATGAACATAGATGCTAAAATTCTCAACAAATTATTAGCAAACCAGAACCAGCAATACATTAAAAAGATTATACACCATGATCAAATGGGATATATTCCAGGGATGCAAGATTCATACAATATTGGCAAATCAATTAATGTGAATATCACATAAACAAAATAAAAGATAAAAATAACATGATCATATCAATAGATGCAGAAAAAGCATTTGATAAAATCCAGTACCCATTTCACTTATATGTGGAATCTAAAAAAAAAAAATAAACAAACAAAATAGAAACAAACTCACTGAAAACAAATTAATGGTTTTCAAATGAAAGATCATTTGTGGAATGGGTAAAAGGGGGAAGGGATTAAGGTGTACAAATTGCCAATTATAAAAACAGTCACAGGAATGTAAAATGCAGAATAGGGAATACAGTTGATATGTATGGTGTCAGGTGGGTACTAGACTTAGAGGGGTAATCACTTTGTAAGTTATATAAATCTCTAATCACTATGTTGTATACCTGAAAATAATATAATATTGTATGTCAACTGTAAATGAAAAAAATTTTAGGTATCTATATATATAAAAACCCAATGACCAGAACAGCAGAACGACCAGAATGACCAGAATGACCAGAATGACCAGAATGACCAGTGGCTATGACACTCACTGCGGCAGCCAACCAGCCTGTTCTGGGCCCCAATCGTGCCCCCTGCCAGCTGGCCCAGCCCCCGATTGGCCCCCAAAACCCTGATTGGGGGCAGGGCCAGCTGGCCAACCGTCCACAGCCCCCCCCCCCCCCCCCCCCCGCTGGCCCGGTTGGGGCAGGCCGGCCAGACCCCACCCATGCACGAATTTATGCACTGGGCTTCTAGTCCTATATAATAAAGAGGTGATATGCAAATTGACCCTCACACCCTCATGTCACAAGATGGCCACCCCCACGTTGTCACAGGATGGCCGCCCCATGTCATCACAAGATGGCCACCCCCACATCATCACAAGATGGCTGCCCCCACGTTGTCACAATATGGTCTGCAGGGGAGGGCAGTTGGGGGCAATCGGGCCAGTAGGGGAGCAGTTAGTTGTTAATCAGGCCAGCAGGGGAGTGGTTAGGGGGTGATCAGGCTGGCAGGAAGAAGTGGTTAGGGGCAATCAGGCAGGCAGGCAGGCGAGTGGTTAGGAGCCAGCAGTCCCGGATTGTGAGAGGGATGTCCAACTGCCGGCCCCCTGGGGATTGGGCCTAAACTGGCAGTCGGACATCCCCCAAGGGGTCCCAGATTGAAGAGGGTGCAGGCTGGACTGAGGGACAAATTTCATGCACCAGGCCTCTAGTTTTAAAATAAAAAAATTAAGGACTTTATTCTACATATTGAAAATATTCCCATTATATATATTATTGTCAACTACCCAGCACATTTTTATAAAATGTTTAAAACTTAAAAAATAAGGAAACAATCTGTAGGCAGAAAAGGTCACATTACTTACAAAAGGAAAATAATTAGGTGGGTGTCAGTCTTCTTGACAGCAAACTGTATGCAAGACAACATTGCAGCAACAGTCTTGAAAAATTCAAAGTGAGAAAGCATAAGCTCAATGACCTTATACCTATTTAAGATTTACTCTAAGTACTAAGGGTATACCAAAAAAGTTTTTATCTGCAAGAATTCGAGAACACTGTACTCATAGTCCTTTCCTAATAAATCTACTAAAAGATGAGTTTCTTCCAACTAAGAGGTGACTGGAGAAACTGGCAAAAGAAAAAAATCTGGTATAGAGAACAAGATATATTTAAGAGAGATGAAAATAAAGATGAACAAAAAGAGTGGGAGAACTTTATGTAAATGTTATATGTTTAGACAAAGTATAAATAATTTATTAGCATAACAGTTTATTGATCAATACTCATGTGCTAGTTCTCTAGCATTATCACAGCTTGCTCATCAAAGACTCCATTAATGTTTCCAGCTTTGGGCATATGAAAAATAACAGTAATAATGAAGAATATAATAATAATAACAGTAGCTATAATGTATTAACCATGGGCAGTGTGCTAAAATGAGCCCCCTTCTACAAAAAAATGAAATGAGAGTTAGAGCTAATAAGATAATTAACCAATCTGATTCTAAAACTTATGCTCGAGATACCTTTAGATCATGTGACCCTTCCATTAACCAATTAGCTGTGCCCATCTGAGCTGTGTAGTCCTATTGAATCTATATGGCAATTTATGCTTAGGGCTCACCTATGGCCACTATTTTGCACCGGTGGCCATGAGCATGGCAGAACCAGGGTTCCAAACCATTCAGCTATCTTCACTTCTTGGGGAGGCTTACATGCTTGCTCAGAGGTTACTGTTACCTCCTTCTCTGAATGTATCAAAGCTCAATGCTCTGCTCCCTCTCAATATGGAACCTGCAACAGCATTCTATAATTTCCAGATTTAGAAAACTTCTACTTCAAATACTTCAACTCTTTGAGTCAACCTTAATTATATAATCTTTAGGTAGTTATAAAATTTTTTTTGCTTAAATATTTTCCTTTTTATGCCCAATCAGGAAGCATTTGTGGGACACCAGATTGCCAGTAATAAAGGTATTTCTTAATGTTGACATGTACAACTGAACTAGGGTTTTGGAGATATACATATATGTATACACACATGCATATACATTTTCTCCCTGTTAGATGGTGTTCACATCTTTCCAGATTTAGAGTATATTAGTAAGGATGTTACACTATTCTGAAATAACTAATAAATTCCTAAATATCAAGGACTTAATAACAAAAGTTTATTTCTTGTCCAGATCAGAGTCTGATATTGCCCTTGTGGCTTTCTACCCAGCTGACTTTCAAGTGGTGATTCAGCAGCTCAGGCTGCTCCCATTTTATAATTCTGTCTTAGAGTCCTTCTCTTCCAGCTGCACAGGCAAAAGAGAGTGAGGCAAATACACATGTACTCTCTTAACTACCTAAGACTGAAAGTAGCATATCACTTCAACTCACATTCTCATTGGCCATGACCCAGTCACATGGTGCAGTATAACTACAAGGAATGTTGGGAAATGAAGTCTTCCTCTGTACTCAAGAAGGAGAGATGGATGGGTGAGCATCTTGCCAATCTCTTCCCTCAAAGTGTAAAACCTCTGCCTTTATATTCTAGATCCAACCCAGCTAATACCACACATCCATTCACTCAAAAAATCCCCTTGTCTCTACCTTCAAAATAACAAAAGTATAATTACTATCATCACCTCTACTTCACAATGGCCCCAGCCTCCATCATCACTTGCCTTGATGATTGCAATAGGTTCCTTACTGATTTTGTTACTTCTACCCTTGACCCATTACAATCTGTTCTCAAAATTAGCTAGAGCAATTATATTAAATACTAGTGGCCCGGTACATGAAATTCGTGCACGGGGAGAGTGGGGGTGTCCCTCAGCCCAGCCTGCACCCTCTCCAATCTGGAACCCCTCGTCGGACATCCTTCTCGCAATCTGAGACTGCTGGCTCCTAACAGCTCACCTGCCTGCCTGCCTGATCACCCCTAACCACTCTGCCTGCCGGCCTTCTCACCCCCAACTGCCCCCCCTTGCCGGCCTGATTGTCCCCAACTGCCTCCCCCCCCTCCCCCCGCCGGCCTGATGACCCCAACTGCCCTCCCCTCCTGGCCTGATCGCCCTTAACCGCCTCTGCCTTGGCCCCGTCACCATGGCTTTGTCCGGAAGGTCTCCCGGTCTAATTAGTATATTACCCTTTTATTAGTATAGATGTGTCTAATCATGTCATGCCTTATTTTACTTAGTGAAATGCTCTTCAGAGTCAACTTATTTACCATGGATTCAAAAGCCCTTTATATTTTGCTCCCCCATTATCTCTCCAACCTCATCACTCATTCTTTTCTTTCTGTTCAAACACTCCAATATGCTTCCACCTTGCACTGGCTGTTCCTTCCTTGTGAAATGCCTTTCCCTTGGGTATCTTCATGACAAAATTTCCCCCTTTCCTTCAAAGATGTTCAACTCACACCCTCTCAATGAGGGTTACCCTGGAACATTCTACCCCCACACTCTTGCACTCCCCATTCCCATTTTTCCACTTTATTTTTTATGGTGCTTATCCTCTTTCAACATTCCACATAACTTACATATTTATTTTATTATCTGGCCCAGCATATTCACTGAAATATAAGCTTCATGAGATGAGGGAATTAAATGTGTCTGGTTGCCGAAACCGGTTTGGCTCAGTGGATAGAGCGTCGGCCTGCGGACTGAAAGGTCCCGGGTTCGATTCCGGTCAAGGGCATGTACCTGGGTTGTGGGCACTTCCCCAGTGGGGGATGTGCAGGAGGCAGCTGATCGATGTTTCTCTCTCATCTATGTTTCTAACTCTCTATCTCTCTCTCTCTTCCTCTCTGTATAAAATCAATAAAATATATTTTTAAAAAAAATGTGTCTGGTTTATAAGTCCCTAGAACAGTGCCTGGCATATAGCAAGTGCTCAATCAATGTTGTCAAATATATAAGTGAATGAATCCTGGCATTCTATGGGCCTAATAATGAGTCCCAGAATCCTTTTCAATATTTCTACTAGCAGATGTAGGACAGGTAAATACATATTCCCTGATATCCAAGAATTTACAAGTTAGATGTGTTAATTAGACCTTTGCTATGACTTTCACTAAAATTCATCAATAATCTATGATTATCATAGTGTTAAACTTATTTTTTAGGTTTCTGTCAATGTTATTAGTTCTGTTTTCAGCTCTGCCAGGATTGTATATTTAAACATTCAAGGCAAAGATTATGGCTTTCAGCATTAGTACATGTGTTGGTGATATCTCCAAATAAACATTTAAGACATTTCTCTTGACTTTTATATCTCTGCTCTATATATAGACCCAAACTAACCAAAAAAGAGGGGTAAGCTCAGGAAATTGGAGCATTCTTCCACCCAACCAAGTTCTGCTGTAAACCAGCCCTGCATAACAGCTCTAGCCACACTGGGCTGCCATAACCTCATAAAGGAGCCTCCCTTTATCTGGAAGAAAGTCTGAGAAAGAGACCAGAGGGTTTCAAGACCATTTGTTTCTCCTTTCCCAAGAGGCTAGGTCACTGGTATCTGGACACAAGCTGAGCATTACAGTCATCATTTTAAATAAAGGGCCCCTTTGATCTGGTTTAAAAATACAAACAAAAGAGCCTTTGCCGAATCTAAATTTGACATGTGTCTTTGTATTCTGTAAATAACCATATTTTAACATAACGTGTCTGATCCACAACTGTAAAGTGTGAAGTGAAGCCGGTTTTTGTTATAAGAACACAATTTGCATTTATGAAACAATATTTTCCAACAGTAGTTCTTGTTGCTGAGATTCTAAGCATGTTCCTTCATCAGTGTAAGTATGAATAATTTCTTTTTTTTTTTTTTACCCATCCCAACAATTCTCAGCAATAAAGGAAAATCTATTTAAAAGATCTCATTTTCCACAAAGAGACAAAAAAAAATTGTTTTCAAAGAAATCAACACCAAAGTTATTTAGACCAGGTCAATCAGCATCTTCAGAACAGCTCGACCATTGAGAGTGGAATGATTAGTTAAAAGGCTTCTGTGGACTCCAGAGGTTAGCAGTGTCTGGACATCATCAGGTATGTGAAGCACTAGGCCCAGAGAAGGAAAAGGCTCTGCAGGGTATAGGAAAACATTTACTTTCAACCCTCTTAGTGAGGAAGTGCAAGCCAGTAAACCTACTTTCTTTTAGCCTATGGATTTCTAAGCCACAGGGCCCAAGAAAGGTTGCAACCTTGAGCCCAAGCTCCCCAGAGCACCAAGGTCATTTCTGAACTTACAGGGTGAAATATATTTAAAGCCCTTCCCCAAAGGGAGTTGCAAAAGTTGGAGGTTGTTTCACTGTCAGGGTCAATTTATATAAGAAAGAGTGCAGGAGATAGGGTCCTTGCCCAGGGGACTTCCGAGGAAAAACAGAATTGACCTATTTTTAAAGGGAATACATTCCAGAACGCAGTCCTTATGACCCACTCCCTACCCATATCCGTCTTCTGCTCTTCCAGTGGAGAAGAGAACTTTCTGCAAATCACTTCCACTAATAAGAATTGTCACCCCCTGTACAAGAAACTACCAGGATCTCTGACACGCTGAACCCATGTCATTAACTCTAACCACTGCATTCCAATGCCAAGAGTTTAATCTCAAATGCAATTATGCAGGAGGCATTGACTAGCAAGGCATTGACTAGCTCCCTTTTTTCTATTTTAATATTAACTTTAAAAGATGTATCTGACTTTTACCCTGGCCAGGTTGCTCAGCTGGTTGGAGTGTCTTCCTGTGCACTAAAAAGGTTGCAGGTGGAACTTCCAGTCAGGGCACATACCTAGGCTGCAGGTTCGGTCCTGAGTTGGGGTGCATATGGAAGCAACTAATCAACGGTTCTCTCTCTCTCTCTCTCTCTCTCTCTCTCTCTCTCTCTCTCTCTCTCTCAATTCAATAAAAAACATATCCTCAGGTGAGGATTTTAAAAAATGTTTCTGACTTCCTAAAGTTATTAATTAAAAATAATCACTGACATAATTTAGATGGGGGGGTGTTGCAATTGTTTTTAGTATCAGAATTTCTGAAAGTCACAGAAATGCCTTCCCCATAAAGTCTATAAAGCATGCACATGAAAGTCCGGGAAACAGGGAAACAAGACTTCCATGTATCACCACTTACAGTCAGCTCACAATTACAGACAGTATTTTAAGTAACACAAGAAATAGCCATGGGTCAGAGAAACAAGCCAGAACGGTATTGGCCTGCTACAAGGTTATTCATGCAGGTGGTTTTACGAAGAATTCAATGTCTCAATTCTATACACCCTTTTGGAATAAAGAGCTCATCTGAATTGCTTCAGTGCGTGCCACCTTCTTCTATATTCTAACCAGATAGCTGGTGATAACATTTCCTAAACAGCAAAGACCTACTTAAATGAGTTATGTGTAAAAAATTTGCCCATCCCTGTTTTTTCAGTGGTCACCAAAATCTGAAGACAGTGAAAGGACTTCCTCTCGCAGAGTAGGTAGTTTACTATGTTTTTCTGGAAATGTTCATGTTTCTGTTAAATCATAGAGACCTAAGATCAGCTTTGTGTTTCTAAGGATTTACTACTATTTGCACAAGAAGAAAAACAGTGATCATCTCTGATCCTTGCCCTCATGGACAGAACTAACACAGCCGTGCTGCTCCTTTCAACATTAGCCAGAATCCAATGTAATAGCAAGTTTTAAATATATGCTTCACTTCATCTTTTTAGTACTAGATGCTCAGTACAAGGGTCAGACTCCTACCAAGGATGCAAAGTAATCTTTCGGGCTGATGGAGGCATCAAGCTCGCCTCTGGAATCCCGCTCCTCTCCTTCCACTCATTACTAAAGGCCCAGGCCAGGGCCCATGGAGCCTCCTTACCTGTTGGGCCACCACCCAGCTGTGTTCTGGGACCTGTCACTTTTGGTTTTCTGGATGCCATTTTCTTCCTTCCTGAGATAAGGAGATGGAGCCAGAACAGATGATCTGTGGGTTCTCCAGACAACTGTGTGCACATGTGATTAATTAGTTCTCAATAAGGACATAGACAAAATTAACTGAACCTATAGTCAATTAAGTCATCTTGGAGCTTCTGTGAATATATTTGTCCAAGTGCTTCTTGTGTAAAAAAGTAAGAATACTCTTATTGACCTTCATATAGAAACTGATCATCTGGAAACATGAAATTCACGAATTTCTAGGTAATCACCTAGAAACTCTGCTTGTTTTTAGAAATGTAGCTCAAATCCTAAATCATCATTAGAAGTGCCTCCATTAGGCTCAAGGATGTATCCCATCGTGAAGTAAAGATATCGCCGTGAGAAATCGTCACTTATCCCATAGAACGAATAAGTTTATCAGTTCATTTTCTAAGAGAAGTTTTGGCGAGAAAAAATAAAGAGTAAGAGGAGACCCTCCTGAGTAAGAGAAAGTGCACAGGGAATGCTTGAAGTGTTCACTGGAGTGACCTGGGACAAACTTGGCCTCTGCACAGTACAGCCTGAGGTTGGTTTGAATCATAGGGAAAATTATAATCTCTATTTGTTACTCTTTTCTAAACTAAATTATCGTCCTGTCATTTTGTCAATAGAGCAGGAACATGAATGTACAGCTTTGGGTTCAAATACAGTTGGGTTGACCCCAGGGTATGGCTTGCATGAGATTCTTAGCAAAATAATTTCTTACCTAATTAGCTGGCACACATGAACTTTAAAAGCTTTCATTAGAGCTTGACCCCTGCCAGTAGGAAATTTGAGAAATTTGGTCCAAACATGGAAAATCTGATTTCACTTGCTAGCGTTGGGACACCTGCAAGGAATAGAAGGAAAGAGAGAAATTTATTTAAGTCAAATGAGAAGTCTGTGTGCCCTGCTTCCATTACATCATTCATTAAGAGGGCTGTGCTGCGGACTTCAAAAGTCACCTTTACTGTGTGATGGAATGGAAGAAGTGATCCGACAGAGAATTAACGGGCGCACATGTGCTTGGCCGTAGCTGTAAGTGTTGATGGACTGCTTACAAGGCATCAAGGTACAAGCAAATGATTGTAGCCACATGGCTAAGCCATAGAATCACTGAGGTGATTAGCAGAGCTGCCGCCTTATATCCAGGACTTTTTGGAATGGGAGAATTCTGAGCTATTCATGAGTAAGGATTATAGGCAGGACATCAAACTACATACTGTAGGCACTAGAGTTCAGATATTTGGCCAAAAATTTTTCCTCTAATTCTGCCAGTTTCTAACTGTATGACCTTGGGCAAGTTAACTTATCCAGTGTTGATTTCATATAATTTTCCTGAAGCTCCACTGAGGCAATGAATAAAAACCTTTTTTCTTTGTTTCTTTTACTAAGTACATTATTATTTTTCTAAAAATGATGTATGCTTGTTACATACTTGTCAATCAATATAGAAAACTTTAAAAATAAAGCAACAAATCACCCTAATTCCTATCTTACAAAAATAACCTGTGTTGAAATTTGAACATCCTATGCCTATATTAACAGCTTAATTTTTTATTGAGTAACTTAGGTTATTGACTACTAAATTAGTTGCCCAGAGAAAAACAGAATGCATTTGTTTTCATCTAAATTGCCTGGCTCTACTGAATGGTTTCCCAAAAGTATTAAAAAATCACTATTTTATATTATGGTAAGAAGACAGAGCAAAATTCAGCACAATGTCCAGTACTATAGTTTTCCAGGAGTGCCCCCCACCAATCCAGGGAGGGGGTCCACAGAAGCACTTCTGCAAATATTTTATCCAAATTTTACTTTTTACAATTTTTTCAGTTATTTTTTTAGAACTGTCATTTTAAAAACTCAACTTGGAGAGTTTTGTTACAATGTACGTAAATTAACTCAGTTTCCTAAGACTAAGTAGTGAAGGTAGTTCCACCATCCCTGTTTAATATGATTAAAGAACATCCCTAGATTGAAGATGAGTAGTTGAAAAGTAGTACAATTTCTATTGCTACTTTGTGTGAAGCCACATTTTCTCAAGATTTTATAACCCCTCCCAAAATGTGAATATTAAAGTGGTTTATGACTGCAACTTGAAATAATAATATCTAAGTGTTAACTTTTTGTTTATTGTTATCCTTGATCAATGTAATAAGATGGAAAGATTTTCACTGTGCTAAAATGATTTTATGCTAATCAAAAAAGTTGTTGTGAGCATCCTTTCAAGAATAAATAGATAAATGGATAAATTGATAAATGGATAAATGGATAAAGTAATCTGTATATTCAAAAGAATTATACTTATGTTTATATCCATGTAATATTACCTAGGTTTGGACATTAAAAACTCATGTGGATCTTCCCAGATCACATGCACCTCTCCTGCATTACTTTGGCATTAATCATTTCCTGTTTTATTTCGTGTGAATGATTACTTCCTGTTTTACTTAGTTTTACCGTATATGGAAGCATCCTAAGCAATATTTGTTTAGGTTTGCCTGATTTGAATATTATGTACAAAGAGCCATGCTGTATGCAATAACTTGTGGCTTGCTTTTTTGCACAGTGTTATGTTTCTAAGATTCATGTATGTTTAAGTGGATAGTTGTAGTAACATTCATTTTGGGTGTTGCATGTATATTGTTTTATTATAAGGAAATACTACAATTGATTTATCCATTCTATTGATTATGGTTATTTGGGTTTTTAATTTTTGGCTAATTTAAGTCATGCTTCCATGAACATTTTGAGCATTCTCTGGTGTATGTATGCAAGAATGTTTCTTGGAAGTATACTTCAGGATAGAATTGCTGGGTTGTTTACATGTGTAACATTCTATTTTTCTAGTTAATATAATCTATTTTCCAATATTACCAGTAATAGACCAATATTCACTCCTACTTGCAATGGATAAGAGTTTTCATTGCTTCTTAGCCTCACCATTAATTGGTATTGTCAATCTTTTAAATTTATTAGAACCAGTATGTATATAATAGTTCTCTTTGTGGTTTTACTTTGTATTTGTCTAATTAGTAATGACATTGAGTTTCTTGCTACATACTTATTGGCCATATATTTCCTTTTTTGTTAAGAGCTTGTTTAATCTTTTGCCCATTTTTCTTTTGGGTTGTAGATATTTATTACTTATGAATTTACAAATACAGATACATGATCAATTGACTGAAAGATGGATAGAGATAAACATCTAGTGTAAATATATATTCTAGATACTAGTTTTGCCAGTTAACAAGCTATTATCTCTTATTTTCAAATTTATCTTTCTATACTTTGCTCTGTGATTTTAGAGCTATGTATTTGTCAGCTACTGCCATGTAACAAATTAAAATCTAGCAATTTTAAACAACACACGTGTATTATCTCTCAATTTCTGTGAGCCAAGAATCCAGACATATCTTAGCTGTGCCCCTTGTTTCAGTCTCTCTCAAAACTGCAATCATGTGTCAGCTCTGGGTCGGTGGCCTCTCTTAACTTCCATACCTTATTTTCTATTATGTTTTCTTCTTTGCATTTCTTTTGCTGTTCCCTCCTCTTAGAGGATGATCATTTTAAGGACTAACCACACTTCAGGAGCTACCAAGAAACCTCCCTTCTCTATGAAGACTGTCTAGTTCTCCTAGCCAAAAGCATTTTTTCCTCCTCTAAACTCCTAAAACTATTCAATTTCTGTCTGTATTATAGGTGTTTGTGTGTATATATTATTTCTTTACTAAGCTGTGAATCTTTGAACAAAAGGGACTCTTTTGGTTCTATTTCAAATCCCTCAAACTAGGTGAAGATGGCGTACAAGTTAAGTATAGAAAAAAAAAACACACACACAGAAAAACAGAGTTTGGTCTTTACACTGGCCTGCTTCAATAGCATTATACTGTGAGCCACAAATGCCAGCCACAGAAGCAGTTTTAAATTACCTAGTAGCCAAATTTAAAACAAAAAGTTAAAAGAAACAGGTAAAATAGGTTATCATGTTTATTCAATATACCGAAAATATTCTTATTTTAATTGATAATATAACAAATTCTCAGGGAAGGAACTGTTTTACATTCTTTTTATTTAAAAAAAACGGATTTTTCTCTTTTTTTATGTATTTTTTATTGATTTCAGAGAGGAAGGGAAAGGGAAAGAGAGATAGGAACATCAATAATCAGAGAGAATCATTGATCAGCTGACTCCTGCATGCCCCCTACTGGGATCAAGCCTGCAACCCAAGCATTTGCCCTTGACTAAAACTGAACCTAGGACCTTGCAGTCCGCAGGCCAATGCTCTATCCACTGAGCCAAACCAGCCAGGGTGCATTCTTTTTCTAATAGGAAGCCTTCAAAATCTAGGATGCATTTGACATTTACAGCACATTTCAGTTTAGACTAGCCACATTTCAAGCACTCATAACCACATGTGGCTTTTGGCTGCTATAGTGGGCAGTACAGCTCTAAACAATAGAGAACCATGGAAGATTTCTGAGCAAGAAATTAAAGTAATCAGAGAAGTGCTTTGGATATTTTAATTCAGTGGGAAAACATTTTTTTAATATGTTTTTTATTGATTTCAGAGAGGAAGGGAAAGGGAGAGAGAGATAGAAACATCAATGATGAGAGAGAATCATTGATGTGCCTGAAACTCAGGCATGTGTCCTTGACCAGAATTGAACCTGGGACCTTTCAGTCTGCAGGCCAACACTCTATCCTCGGAGCCAAACTAGCTAGGGTGGGAAAACATGTATTAAGTACATTAAAAATAACAACATTAAGAAAATTTCCATTTATTGAGTGCAAATTGTGCTTGCTGATCAACAAAAACCTTTGGAATTATTTTTTAATAAAGAAAAAATAGATGTCCTGCACTAACAATGTCTTCAATAATTATTTAGACATTAGTTGAATTTTATAAATGTAGTGAGAGGCTTACCTGAAACTAAGTTTTCCAAAATGTTTCTCTACCAAGTCTAAAGATATAAAGTTGCATTTTGGACTTATGTTTCCTAAATATTTTAGGATTCTATCCACCTACTAATCTTTTTCCTTAGAGACCTTAGTATGGTGATTACAGACATTCTTACTAAAATGATAAAAATACAGGAAATGTCATTTTAATAATTGTGGGTTTCAACCTTTCAAAGTTATAAAATTTAAATGAGAATTATTTACAAGTGTAGTTCACTAGCCCTTAGGAACTCATTTGGTTCACCTGTATTTATGGATGTAGCCTGTTTTCCATCTTATTTTATAAATGTTAATCTAGTTATTAAAATAGAAAACACATTTTTTTAAAAAGATAGAAAACACATATTGATAATGTGTGGTGCGGGGGCAGAGGCCTGCTCTTTCCATGCTGGGGAATGCCAATGTTACCATTTCACTTAATCTTGGGAAATCACTTACAGGACTCTGCATCTTATCTCTTAATATTTGCTATTTATTGTTCCCCCACAAAAGGAATAAAGTGAAGAAATAAAATGGAATCACAATAGTCAAGGTCTTAAATTATTAAAATCAAGTAGGCTAAGGCATGAGGAAATGATTCTGTTCTTATTGTAACTAGCCTGGGAACTTAAACTTTTGAACTTTCTAGTCCTGCATCAATGTCTGGATATAAATCAAACTTTCATATCACCCTCTGATTAATCCCTGAAGGACTAAGCACAGAATGTTCACGTATCCAGACCACTCTGGAGAACAATCCGGAGGCTAAAACTGCAGGACTAATTCTCTCAAGAATGTACTTTTTTACTACAAGAGCTCAGCTTTTCTTTCTTCTTTGGAATACTCTGGGTATTGCCTATATGTGCTTCTGGTTTGCAAACCTTAAGACCCTTGAATAAATCT